GAAATGGACACACTCTTTATCCTGGCTTCTTGGTCTTTGCTGAAGAAGAGACCTAACTTCAGTCAGGGGATCCGGAGCAATATTTGGCCCCAAAATTAGTCAAGTGCCTCACATAGCACTGAAATGCAAAATGTCAAAGATAAAGCAAAAGAGGATGAGTGGAGCCAGTGCTTTGATTCCCTCTGAAAATCTTGCATTAATAAATCAATGAGAAATTTAAATAGTTGGGAGTCTCAGGACCAGCAGGTACTGGAACAAGTTACTGGAAGTTGCTGCGGGGGGATGTTTCTTGTAAGTGGCAGTACCAAATTTCTCCACGGTGAAAGGCCAAGACATCTGAAGAGTATTTCCACAGTTTTACTGGCATCTACAAGATGTGTCTTACAGTCACAACACTGTGTCCACAGCTTTGCAGGAAGTAGGTTTGAAGCCCACAAACATTTTTTTTTGAAAGCTGTTAACTGAAATCTAAACCAGCACACAAAGGAGCTCAGCACCATTTCAGTGCACAAGCCAGAAGACATGAAAGGACTGACAGTAGATACTGCTGATATTTTAAAACCCCCTCTAGTTTTCAGACTATTAAGGGCTTGAAAAATACCAACATACAGGTGATCTAGAAATTGCTCACTGCAGAGTTTTTTGCCCCACTCAGAACCAGGACACTGGACTAGATTGACAGTGAGTCTGATTCCCTAGTACAGGGGTGGCCAACTTGTGGCAAGCATGCCAAAGTAGCATGGAAAGCCTCTCTGCGTGGCACAAAGAAGAACAAGGAGAGACATGCAGCACAATAGCAGATAGGGCAGGAAGCAGAAAAGAGAGCAGCAGGTGGGCAGGGAGCACACAGTGAGAGGCAGAAAGGAGAGCAGATTGGGAAGAGTATAGAGCAGGAAGCAGAGCAGCAGGTCAGGCAGAGGAAGGGGATTGGAGTGGCACTTGGAGAGGGTATGGAGCTAATCTGTGGCACACTTGCCAAAAAGTTTGGTTCCGATTGCTACCGTCATCCAGACGGAATCTTTCATTTCCTATGGTTATTCTTTCTTGCATTGTCAAAGCCTAAAGTCATGCTGACCTCAGTGGGTAATAACTGTGATCATTGCCTTATTTGTTTTTAAACTGCTTGAATGTATTACCACAATATGAAGCAACCAGCGATGGTTTAACCATAGACATTAGGACCAAATAGATCATCAGGAAGATGCTTTGGCAAGTGCCAGCTATTTACTCTGCTAGCATTCAGCTTGGCACACCTGCTTGTCAAATTCACCACTTCCTTACAGAATCAGAACAATTGCACCCTATAAAACAGCTATAAACAGTTGCCATCCCAGATGCGCAGTGCACTCCCCACACCTTATCCCATAAAAAGCCAGATGCTCACCACATTTTCACCCCCAAGACATTTAACTCCTCTAAACAGAATGTAAAATTTCTCCCTGCCCAAACTGCATGTCTTATTCTATTTGGCCAAAGCTCCCTACTGCGTCTGGATGCACATTATTTAGACTGTCCACAGTACAGTTCTAGGAAGAAAGGTCCACAGCTGTACTGCACCAACAGCACCAATAATATAGACAGGAGTCTGGGGGTACTGGTGTTTCTGTTACTATCAAGCAAATCTGAGAAGCTTGTCAGCTACCAATGGCCAGTATCTCCCCTGCTTATTATTGCAATACAAAAATAAATCTGCCTATAAAGCCACCTATTGTTCTAATCTATTCCGATGAAGAGTAGTTAAAGTAATCAAGGAAAAATGGCATCTTTAAGAGAAACTAATTTCAGCAGTGTTCAATAATGACCTTTCTTTTCACCTCCAAAAATGGTTTCTTCCTAAACAGCTTTCTAAATGAAAAGCAACTACACAGATTACAGATATTGTCCATCCAACAAGGATCCAGTGCCAAGTGTTCTGAAAATGCGGGTATGAACTGGGGGGGGGGGGAAATAAAATTTCATTTTTTACCCAAGACTGACAGTAAGGGGCCTCAAACTTTCTTGATAACTACACTATAGCTGGGAAGCTTTGATGATCTTTGTATTCTTGGCACATTTGTTGTCATTACAGATGATTTCCTGGCACAGCTCCTTTGAAGAGGAAAAAAAAGCAGCTTAATTTGAATTAGAACAAATGGACATTCTCCCCCTCGCAGGAACAACGCATCGAAAGGAAAGGGAACATTACAAGCTTCAACTGACAGAATTTCCTACTCTTGTTTGTTGAATGGTTTTTCCAACCCCTAGGCGCCACCTTGGATTATAGCAACACTTGGATCTACAGATGCAAAGGGGTATTTCCCCAGTGGGTTTATGTACTGCCCTGACTGTATCCTCTTCTCACTTCATCCTGGGCACCACTGGCTCCTTAAAAACAGCTGTACTCTTCGGATTTATCATCACCTCAGCTGCTTCTGGAGGTTCTACAGTACAAACAGGGAAGCAACTTAAATTGATAGTCTCTAAGGCTAAAACCAGACATCAGATTTCTCCAAGGAGAAAGCCTGTTGTCCTGGGATTCTGCATCCATACAATCCCACTTTAAGTACCTGTGAGGTATGCAAGATAATGCACACTAACACTTTCCCCCCCAGACAATCAAAGCTCATTTGAGTTACCTGCCATTTATTCCAAGGATAAACTACATGCGTATATGGTTGTGCTGCTCTTCCTTTGTATCAGGTTGAAGCTGATCCATAACTGCTTCCAACACCACCTCTGTTTTTAGCCTAGTCGTATTAACATGTGCTTCCTGCAGTCCCTTCAGAGTACCTGATGAAGTAAGTTGCTGCTTACTTCAGGCTGAACAGACTAAATCTGATTCAGTTAGTCGGTAACTTTGGAGTTAGACTAGGGGTTTTCAACCAGGGGTACGTGTACCTCTGGGGGTACTTGGGATGGCCTCAAGGGGTATTTGGCAGTGGGCACTGCCACCAGCACTTCTGCCGCCACCATGCTGCCAGCACACTCATTGATTGGCCACTGGGGAACCCCCCCACCAACTGGCCGCGGGGGGGGGGGTGTCTCCCCTGCTCATTGACTGGCTGCTGGCACCAGGGGTATACTGACCCAAAAAGTTTGAAAACCCTCAAATTAGACTTAGTGATGACAGAACAAGGAGCAATGGTGCCAAGTTGCATCAAGGGACATTTAGGTTGGATATTATGAAAAACTTTCTCCCTAGAAGGGTGGTGAAACACTAGAATGGGTTACCCTGTTAGGTTTTTAAGGCTCAGCTGAACTAAGCCCTGGCTGGAACAATCTCCATCAGGATGGTCCTGCTTTAAGGGACTAGATGCCCTCCTGGGGTCCCTTCCAACCCTAATATTCTGATTCTATGGGGTGCAGATCTAACCCACCTTCTGCCTGACTTGAGACTAACATGGCTAACTACCTCTCCCTGTGTCTGAAGAAGCCAAGCCAACTCCTGCTCTTCATTTGCCTTGGTAGTAGAGCAGGCCTTCTGTGGAGTCCCCACATAGGGCAGCAGTGGAGATGGGTGAGCATGCTGCAGCTGTGGAACTCTTCAATGGATGAGGAGGGGAGCAGGTGGCACAAGCATCTGCCTACTGGATTGTATCATCATTCCAATAAAGAACAAGGCTTATTGCTGTTGCTAAAGAAATCCACTTGAATATTGTAACTTCACATAAGCAAATAGCCCACCAGCTCATTTTCCTAGAAGGCTTAAGTAGGTTAATATCACTTGCAAACTTCAAAGACTGCTAGTTCTTTCTAGAAACAGCAAAAGCAGGTTGATCTATTGCAAATCTTGTGTTCCAATGTGAATTTTAATTCCATAACATTTTTAATTGATTCTTTCCGAATACATATATGGTTAAGAATATTTGCATGGATTAATAAATGTAGCTACTTTGGCATTGCTTTATACAATTCTACTCTGCCTGATAAACCTGTGTAAACTGAATATATGCACTGACTGTGCTCTACTGTGTGGGCAATCTTTTCTTTTTTAGTACAGTATTCTATTTTAAAATGAAAACAGGGCATTATAGCAGAGTTCAGGAACTACACTTGATCTGAACAGAGAAGGCCAAGAAGCGTTGTGAAGAAACATTCTTCACAACAAACCAACTTTTGCCTATTACAGTTGGAATACCACACTTGTTTTCTACATTCTTGGTTTCATTAAAGAATTTTTTGCCAACTTCAAGGTTATCCAGATAAACTTGTTTCTATTGTTTTTTTAGCAGCTTGCAGCCACCAACATCATTAGAATACACTGATTTAATCTGTGGACAGCACACATCAAGGATTCATCTCTGTCATCTGCAACAGAAATTTTATTTTACTTTTGTAGTCTCAAAGACAAAGTGCCACTTTTTTTTTCTATAAAGCTTCTGAAATGGACAGTTCTAACTATATAGTTAAAGCACTGTACCACCACCATGGAAGGTACTAGATTTAGGCAAGAACTGCAGGCAAATTTGCATCTTGATATGTTACAAAACCTCTCACGGAGTGTATTAACATGAATTAATCTTTGCCCTTCAGCCTGCATGAATCTGTTTCCACATGCACATGAAAGCTGACTGTTGTTACAGTCCAAGTACTAGTTGTTCTTATTACAAAACTACCACCCAACTGGCAGTCTCTGGACAATGAAGATGTCACTGAACAGGAAGTAGTGTGCGCAAGGCTGGCATAGTACTTCCTTGCACTATGTCTAGTTCAAGCAAGTGTAAACTCTCTTTGCATTTTTAAAAAATAGTTTCGGTTAAATATCAAGTCATTAAATGGTAATACCTCAAAAAAATTTTAACCATAGCACTAATAGTTATATTAACATTTTGGACTAGGAGATGCAATATTACCAATAAATAATCCTGAAAAAGAACATCTGTCAATTTTGTACCCGAGCAGGTAGTTTTCTTACCATATACAACACTTTGCTATATGTAATTTGAACAGTTCCATTGTTTGGCACATCCCGTTTCAGTCAGATTTTATGACTCTTTGTTGAAGTAGCATTAATACTTTCCCAACATTAGGAAAACAATTTTATTGAAAATTTTGAAAAAAAAATCACAGATAATCATTACTAAGTTATTAAGCTAGTACAGTATGTACTCTGACAGTTTCAAAATTTTACACAGAGAGAAAAAAATTGCACTAGTGATCAATGCAAAGTATTATAAAGTCTAAACCTTACAAGACAGAAAATGATAGTTCTTGCAATTTAAAACATACTCTTAATGAAATGTCTCATTTGGCTTTTTTCATGAAGTGGCTTTTGTTCGGGCAATAACTTCATTTACAAAACTGTTATTCTTTGCCAGCACTCCAGCTTTCAGTTGTTTCAGTTTCGTTCTGATGTCTTCCTCAGACATGTCTGTCAACGGCAATGCTTTCACTTGATAAACAAAGTCCTGAATTATTTTCTCACCTTCCTGAAAGAAAAAAATGAATGTGTAATTAGTCCTTAAGGCTACTCCTTCCAACATCTCTCCAAGAAAACAGTGGGGTTCTGTTTAGCAGTAAAAAAATGTCTAAAGGCCAAAGGCTGGTATTTTGGCATTTGTTGCTCTTTTGGCAACAGCTATATCAATGTGTATCAATGTGCACTTTCACTTAACAATCTGTGAACAAAAACATTTGTTGCTATGTGGAGATAGGCTTTTGTCTGTGGCTGCAGGGGACTGAATGAGGCACAATGGCCTTAGACTGCAACAGAAGATATTTATATAGGAAATCAGAAATAATTTTCTAACTATGAGAGTGGTCAAGCACTGAAACAGGCTACCTAAAGAAATTGTGGAATCTCAATCCTTGGAAATTTTCCCTGGGAAGTTGGTTCCAGATTTTGGCCACCCGAACTGTAAAATATTACCTTCTGATCTCTAACCTAAACCTATACTCCATCAGCTTATTACCGTTGTTCCTCATCACTCCAGGTGGTGCTGGGGAGAAAAGGGCTCTAGCTATTTGCTGTTGATCTCCCCTGATGAGTTTGTAGGCAGTTACCAGGTTCCCCCTCAGCCTCCTCTTGCTGAGGCTGAACAGGTTCAGGTCCCTCAGTCTCTCCTCGTAGGGCCTGTCCTGCTGCCCTCTCACCAAGCGGGTGACCCTCCTCTGGACCCTCTCCAGGTTGGCCACATCCCTCTTGAAGTGTGGCACCCAGTACTGGATGCACTGCTCCAACTGCGGCCTGACCAAAGTTGCATAGAGGGGGAGTATCACCTCTCAGGACCAGCTTGAGATGCACTTTTGGATGCATGACGAGGTATGGCTGGCCTTGCTGGCTGCGGTCTGGCATTGGTGGCTCATGTTCATCTTGGAGTCAACAATGACTCCAAGAACCCTTTCTGCCTCTGTGCTTTTAAGAGGGGAACTTCCCAGGGGAACACCTGGGGAGAAGGAATCCACAGGATACATACAGATGTATGCTGCGGATTCCTTCTCCCAAGGTGTTTAGTCAGAGATGATCCTGTTTTGAAGCAGCGGGCTGAACTAGATGACCTTGTGAGGTTCTTTCCAACCCTACTTTTCTATGATCCTATGATTAACCCATGATTAATCCTCTGATCTATGATCTTATGATTAAAGTTGCTAGGTGTGTGAAATGCTGTATGTTTTAAGAACCTGATAGTCTGAAAGGATGAATTTACTATGTGTGTTTCATATTTAATCTCCGCTCATAATTTTAGTTCTGGAGCTGGGTACCAGGTGCATACGAAGACTGGTCCAATCCCTGTAATCAGTAGCAGCTTTACCACCTCGACTAGATACTGGGGTGCTAAACTGCAAACAGAAAAATGTTTTTAACACTCCAAGGGAAAGGAGAGTTTGTTACCAAGCAACCAAAGACTGGCAGTCACTAAGGAGAACAGGTTAAAACGAAGACTTATGTACTTGCCTTTAAGGAAAGGCTAAAAGTGGAAATTTTTTAAGTGATAAGCAGGGATCCTGGTTTTCTCTGATAAAAACAATGTGCAAATTCTCTGATAAAAACCCCAAAATCCACGATTAAAATGAAACACCATTATACATAGGTACAATTGAACACAATGTTTTATTGAGATACTTATAATTTTAAAGTGATTTGGAAGCCTACAATCACTATAGTAAAATAAATTCTAAGTACCTATAAATTTTGGTATTTGATTTTGTTTTTTTATCATGGAAAATCAGGGCTCCTTCTGCCCCCTTAGCTTACCAGGAGGCAGGTCCAGGCCCCTCACTCCCAAGTCACAATCTCCCAGTCCTGCTAGTGACCCTCACTCCCCACAAACAGCCCCCTCACCCCTGCTGGTGTCCCTCACCTCCCACCCCTCCAGCCCTGCTGAAGGGGCCCCAAGTTGCCAGGGCTATGGGGCCAGGGACCCTGGTCTGCAGCCCCTTGCCCCCCACAGCAGCACCTGAGCCCTGGGTGCCACTCACAGGAGGCAGCGGTTGCTGCGTCCTGAGTGGGGACCCCAGCTCCCCCTCCCCCACAGGCAGCATGGCCAAAGTGGAGCCCATAGAGGGGGAGGCAGGTGCAGGCTCAGGCAGGGGAGAAGGGGGGCTGGCTCCCTGCTGCTGCGCACACACCCAGGGGGCAAAGGGAGGACGTGCCCCCAGATCTGTGCACAGGACGGCTGTGAGCTGCCCTCTCCCAGGGCCTCCGCAGCCCAGCAGGGTTAGGCAGGGAAGCTTGTTGCAGCCGCTGTGAGCCCCACACTGCCCTGGCGATGCGCCTGCTGCCCGCCCCAGAGCAGGGGGGCAGCAATGTGGGATTGTGCCCCTCGCTGCTCCGGGGTGGGCAGATCCTGCCCACCAGGCTGTGGAGGCCCCGAGGGAGAGCAACAGAGTGGGGAGCCCAAGCCTGTAGAGGGCAGCCTGCCCCTGCCCTGCACACAAATCTGGGGAGCATCCCCCCCATCCATTCAGGAGTGCGCACAGCAGCAGGGAGCTGGCCCCATCCCCACCACCTCCCAGATGAGCTGTCCACAGCTCCGTCCCACCCCCTGCCAGGGCCCTGTGGCTGTGTATTGCAGCCCTGGGCCTAAGCTCCAGAAACTCTGCCAGTCTGCAGAGAGCTATCTGCAAAAGAACAAAATCTCTATTAAAATGAAAAATCTCTATTAAATTCTATTAAAATGAAAAATCTGCACTTTTCTAAGGTAAAAGGGAAAATCCACAGTTTTTTCCTTTTTGCCAGCCATCAGGTTTCTAATGCAAAACCACTACATTAGAAAGGTAACATTACATTCCTATGGTTTACTTTTTACTACTGGACTAACAAAATTAGTCTGACAGAGCATTATTTATTGAAATAAGCTACACGAAGGAGTCACCAAAGTGAAATCTATTTTTATGGAGAAGATGCCTGATTAGGTCCATTTAAATTCAGACTAATCAAAACCAAAGCCCACTCCCTAGATACTCACTGAACTTCAAGAATGAACTCTGAAGCCAGACCATTTTTATAATGGGGCAAACTGGCACTTTAGCATGAATTGTGCTTTGGGGAAGTTTTGTTCCCAAGTTATTCAGTTTCAGTTTGTCTAGCTTAAACATATTTTTATGTCAGCCAACCTGTTTTTCTCGGTAGCATCTCTTCACTGCTGGCTCTCCTTCAGATTCCTTGGGCTCTCCAATGTTTTGGAATTCCTCCAGCTCCAGAGCTTTCTCTTTTGCACTCTCTATTACATGTTTTGGAAAAGCAACAAGCTCTGCCACGTGTATCCCAAAGCTCTGGTCACAAACACCTGGAAGAAAATAACAAGTCAATTCTCAGAAAACAATATGTATGATGTATTAGATCATATGAACAAGCCCTAAATGCTCAGTTTTCAAGAGCTGACTGATCTTGTTCGACTCTCCTAATACCTTCCAATTTACAAACATTTGATCTATGTTTAATAAGGAAATGTGCATTTATTTGATTACAGAGAGGTAGTTAAGCTGAGCTGGTCTGACACACTTTAATTACAGTGCATTGGAGCAGACTTGATTAATCTAGTCTGCTGGAGTGCGGTAGTTCCTGTGCTCCTGCAGGCTTCTGCATCTCATGTATTAGCATCCCCACACCTAAAAATGGTGGCAGGGTCACTTGAACTAAAGCTTGTTGAATGAGCTTTAGTTCAAGTGCCCCTGCCACAATTTTTAAATGCAGGGACACTGATACATGAGACACTAGGGCGCTTTAATTACACTGGCTCTCGTCGCCACTCTAAAGCGCCACCCCCCTCCATCTCCAGAGCGCATGTAAAAATCCTAAAGGTGCATCGATACCATGCCTTCTGTTTGATTACAACCCTAGCTGACCACATAAAAGGGAAAATGTCTTTACGTACAAAAATATTTCCAATACCTTAAAAAATATTTCTAATTTTTTTTTAGTGTATTTGAATTTCCTAAATTTCAATCAAGTGTTTTCGTATGCAGCTCTGCAGCATATTATCAGCTATGCCAAGATTTAAACCCATCCTTGTTGACTGCAGTTACTTTAATAGTACACATTTCCTCAGTACGGAAGTATGGGAGGTTTGGGGGGGGGGGGTTGTTGTTGTTTTTTTAAGGTATGCCAAAACCTCTTACTTTGCACCTCACTGCAATTAAATTCACTGACATAAAGTACCATGTGTACTACAGAGATGTGTAAGAGACAAAAATAAATACCTCGTTTGCTCTGATTGTTAAATATCTCATTTGCTCTTATGTCAGAATAAGCACCTAAAGAGCAATTTTCATTATCAGAAGCCCTTCTTGGTACATTATCAACTCCAGGCCTGGATTCATGCTGCTGGCCTGACAGGCCCTCTACCTACTCTGTGAAGAATCCAAGTAGGACACCAGAGCTAATACTAGTAGGTATGGACTAAAAACTGGTTAAGGGATGAAAAAGCAGCCTAATAAATAGGCAGTGACCAACAAGGGGAAATAATGGTAAGGTCCCCCAGGACTAAGGTTTTGTCAGTATATATGAATATATTTATCAATTATCTAAAAGGATGAAGGGAAGATTGAAAAGGAAAAAACCTACCGAGGCCTAGAGAGATTACTGAAGAACTTCAAAATAGAGGTGCACCGATGGATCGGTACAGATATAAAGAAAATCTGCTGTATTGAATATTGGCCCAATGAGGTTGATAAATGCCTGTGCTGCACACAGCTGCAGTACAGCACTGAAGCAGCCAGAAGCAGAGCCAACAGCATGGAGAGCTGCCTCCAGCTGGTCAGCCCAGTGTGGTAGAAGGGGAGGGGGGAGAGAAGAGGTGTGGAGGGGGGCAGAGCAACACCTCCCACAGTGAGGGAGGGGGCAGCAGCAGCAGCAGGCACTGCCCAGGCAGGGTGAGGAGGGGCAGAGCTGCAGCTCGTGCCTGCAGCCTGGGAGGGCGTGGGAGGGGTGGGAGGGGCCTATGTCCCTGGAGCTGCACAGGGTGGAGTGGGGTGGGTTGCAGCCGAGGCTGTGCAGGGTACTTCTCGGCAGGGGCTGGGCTTGGAGCGGGTGCCAGCAGCACTGGGAGGATGCTGCATC